CTTTCATGCTGTCAATGTGATAGCTTTGGCATTGGTGTTGCCCCTTGTGCTTTCATCTGCGATGTTTGTCAATGGCATGTCAATGTTTTTTCCAGGGGTGCCTTTTTTTTGAATAATGGTTTGTTCGTTGAAACGAATCAAATCAGTGTCAGCGGCTCCCTGTCAATGTCATACTATCTGAGCCTTTGGCTTCCAGTTCAGTACCCTCTGCGGCTTGAAGTGACTGACAGTCAGTTGCTGTAAGTCTGTTGTAGCGAGATGGGCCGTAACCAGCACAAGTCGAAGAAGGCCCGCAGTATGACTATGCCAGCCAATATGATGATGATGAACCCGATGGCTGCTATGAACCCGTTGCTCCTGCAACAGTTGGCCAGTGCAATGATGGCTCCACCTCCGCATCAGCAGGTTGAGTCGGACTCATCGTCTGATGACCATGATGATCGTCGAGCTTCTGGGTCTGTTGCTGTGGCCAAAGCCAGCAGCCAGGCCGCAGCTCTTCCAGCCCCTTTGCAAGATGGACCTTCGCAGCTGCCACACCAGGCTGCAGATGTGACTGCCCAGAATGCCCAGGCCTATGCGCTTCAGGCTTTGCGGGATCGCCGAGCTTACTTGTTCAGTTCAGTGGGAGCTGACAAGAAGATTCACAGAGGTGCTGCGATGATTCGCAATCTTCCCAAGGACACTGGACTGGGGATGATAACAGCCAATGACGACGACGACGACGACGACAACAACAACAACAACATCATACAGTTAAATTTAGATCAGGTTCCAAAATTCAACACTTACGATCGTTTTAATTTGTATTCCTTGCGTGTTCATTGATGCTTTGACAAGTTTTTGTATTCGCATATCTACTAGACATCATTCATTCATCCAACCCTGCAGAAGCGTCTGTCGGAGCTGGTTGAAGCTTTGGATGGGCAGCTTGACCCGACCGTCACCAGTGACTTGAGTCAGTCTGGATTGTGTCGAATGGTGTGGCTGCTTACGAAGCAGAAACCGCAGGTATGTGTGTCCAGACTTCGCTGTGAAGACTATGGGGAGCTGAACACACGTCTCCACCAGCGCCACTTGGTGATTGCGCAGTCGTGTACAGAGGTTCAAGCTGCTCTGCAGGCAATCAAGGCTGAGGTCATCCTGACTGCTGGCTTTGTCGGTGCATTGGCAGAAGCTCAGGGTTGGTCGGATGAATGGATGACTGTTCAAGAGCCAAAGAGCCGCGGGCGTGGCCCCAAAGCGGTTGCAGCTGATGCGCAGCGTGATGCCATGCAGTCTCAAAGAATCCCAGAGATGATGAAGGCTGCAAGTCAAGTGGCACAAGGTGCAAATGCTGGTCCAGCTGCTCCGCTGCCAAGCCCTGTTCCAGTTCAAGTTGGAGGTCAAGTGCGCCCTCCTCCGCCTCCGCGACCCGGTCATCAAGTTGGTGTTGTTGCTGCTGGAAGCCCTCAGGCTCCTCATGCTGCTGTGCAGATGATTGCGCCGGCTGTCAATGCGCCGCGACCAGTTGCTGTGCCGAAGGTTGCTATCCGACCCCCAGTGGCCAGCGCAAGTCCACAGGCCCCTGTGCATCTGCCGGCGCCGCCACAGCCTGCAGCTGCCGTTTCAGTTTCTTGGCTTGCATGGTCATTGACATATTGTTTTGAGAAGCGAAGACATGGTTATCTTCAAAGAATCATGTGAATGTTGCGTGAGACTTGTGCAAACCACGTCATGTTGAGGTAGATAAGATGAAATATGTATATATACAGTTTGAGTATAGTTACTTCAAGTCTATGAGATACAAAACATAATTATAGTGTAAGATGCGAAAGGTGTTTTCTTCAAGGTCCAAGGTGAATATTGTGACACCAAGACATGTAATAAATGCATACTTACCATTCACACTTGTGCTGCATTGGTTTTGTCAGGATGCGCTGCCGGATCAGATGGAGAATGTGGAGATGGAGGCGAATCAGATTGCTCCTGCTGCTGATGCTACTGATGGACAAGGCCATGGAGTTGATGATGCTTCTGATCATGGCGAAGGCCATGCAGGTGATGAAGTTGTTGTGAATGGTCAAGAGCCTCCCACTTGTGTCATTTGTCATGAGCCCCTGCGTGGTGCTGGGCTTGAAATCCAGACGCTGCAATGTGGTCATCCGTGGCACCGAAGCTGCCTTGAAGAGACGTGGCGTGTGGGTGGGCATGAGATTGGATGGTGTCCTTTCCGCTGTGATGTGAGGGAAGCTGCACAGGCGATGGCACTGGAGACTGGCGATGGTGTCACGGCAGATCGTCAGACGCCCAGTGATCCTGCTGAGCCGGAAATTGTTTTGTGAAAGACGACCCTGTATGGCTTCAAATCTTTAACATGATGATGTGTGGCGCAACAGCTGAAGGAGGTGAGGGGGCATGAGTGGACATGTAGGGCAGTAGTGGACAGATTCAGTCTTTTGAATGTACCTTCTCATTTGCAAAATGGTGCCTGGTACAAGCCCACTCGGAATAGCAGTTTGACACCTCGGCGTAGAGCTGTGCTTGCACACAATCATGAGAGATGGGCCATGGTCGCTTGAAGCCCTGTCATTGGCACAGGTAGTCAATTAATTTGATGGCTACTGCATTAGCAGCAGATGAAAAGTGCATATTCTTGCACTTGTGCCGGCAAAGTTTTCCTCATTTTTGCACTTTTTGGCAGGTTTTTGTCTCATTTTGTCTCATTTTGGCACTTTTTTGTCTCATTTTGTCTCATGGTGGCTCATTGGGCCTCATTTGGGATCATTTTGTCTCATTGTGGCTCATTCAGGCCAAATGGAGACAGACTATGAGCAAACACAATGTAATAGTAAGAGGCAATGTCACAGACAGAGCGTACATTGCAATGACAAGTCATACGTTCATACAAGATAAGGCATACATTGCATAGAATGACAGAACAATGACTGACAGGGTATAGAAAAGACTTGGCGTCCAAAGATTGCGGCAATGGCAGCTGGCACAGGGCTGCTGCAGTTGGAGCAGCAAGTTCGCATCATCCAACAACGGGAACAAGCCATTGAAGACAAATTCAAAGCCACCAGCCGTGGCTTAACTGTGTCAACCCTGGCTGAGGTGGAAGACTTTCCCATTGATGAGTCGGGATGTATTTGTGGATGTGACGATGAGATGAAGGAAAAATGGGAGATTGACATCAACATGTTCATGACATGTGATACACAGACTGGGGGCAGAGCACAACAAGTGTGGCCAGAATACTTGACACTGGTCTTTCCGTTCATGGTGGGATGGTCGCTCCAATCAATGCTCCTTGCTTTGCTGATGCGATGTCACTACCATCGACAGCGTGGGGCTGCAGTTTTGCAGTACGTGGAAGTATTCTGTGGAAAGGGAAATCTCTCCCGAGCCTGCATTGCTGCTGGGCTGTTGGGTGTGTCCTTGGACATATGCGTCAATCCGCAGCATGATGTCCTGACAAGTGATGGATTGAGAATGCTTCTTCTTGCAATCACCGCAGCGGTCCCAAGAGCACTGCCGTGGGTTGCAACACCGTGCTCATCCTTTGTGATACTATCTTCTTCGGTGTGCCAAAGAAATTTGACGAATTTGTACATGGGCAGCACAGAACGGTTTTGTGTGCAACGAGGCAATGTCTTGGCCGACATTTCTGGTCTTGCCTTGCTACTGGGAGTTCTTCTTGGACTGGAAGATGGCATGGAACAGCCTTCAAGTAGCTGTCTTCCAGAAACTCCTATTGTCAATGCAGTCTTACGGTTTGGTGGCTACTTCAAAACAGACACCTATCACTACTGCTTCGGTGGCCCAACCTTGAAACCGCTCCAGCTTTGGAGCCACTGCGATTTCGTGTCTGAATTGGCAAGGTCCAGGCCCTCGGTTCCATCGATGGAAGCTTCAGCGCTGGCCAAGAAAAATGATGATGGAAGCTTCACTGGCCGGCATGAGCTCCTGGTTGAATCTCAGGAGTACACGATGCAGTTTGGCCGCTGTGTCGTTACTGCTTATCTGGGTCAAAACTGACTGAGCATTTGCCCAGTGCAGAGCGTGTGTTTTTCACACCGGCACTGCAGCGGCATTAATTATTTCATATGCACTGTCGATGACTGACATGTCATTGATGAGTACGAAATTCAATTCAATTCAGCCTGACAGGAGCTGGTTCATTCAGTCATTCAAGTGTTAAAAAATGAGTGAAATGCCCTGCGCTCACAGTCCTGCCTTGTGAAAGCCAACTTCAGCATCCAGCCAGTTTGTGTAGGTCATTGCAGGGTTTTTAAATGCAAGTTTCAGACTGCATTCTACATACCAAGGCCTTTTCATGATGTGTGGCTTGGAACCTTCGATCGGTCATGTCCAGGCGGAAGGCTTTTGCACACTGCCAAAAAAGTCATTTTGAAATTTGGCAGTCATTGTCATATGACTTTTTTTTGACTTGCTTTGTTGCTGTTGTTGTTGGGGCGGCTTCTTTGTTTTTTCCCATCACCTTCGTGACCAGTCAGCTTGTCATTTTGTAATTTGGAACAAATGGTGCAATCAGTGGTGGGTGAGTAGTGATCAACCACACGCACGTAAAAAAAAAAAGAACTCTGTCTGACTTCGAGCGTCTTGATTTTGTCAGGTTCTCCGACTGCTACAGTGGTTGGTCAAAGTTTCCCCCTCAGAGGAAGACCATAGTCAACCTTGAAACAGTTGTCAGTTGCCTGGTCGATGTTTGTTTGAGGTTTGACTTGGGTGTGACCTGTCAATGAACCATTTTGATGCTGGCGTGAAATCCAGTGGATCAAAGTCATGATATGTCATGACACAACTGTTTGCAGTTATGTGGTCACCTGTTTGACCTTATGGAATGTCCTGCCACCCGGTCAGCGTATAGTAACATGGACAATTGCACTCAAGGTTTGTATGTCATAGCCTTTTTTCGAGCATGCACATGGACAATGATGACAATTGACAATGGACAGCTCATGACATATCTTCGGTTTCAGTGTCTCGCCATATGATGTATGCTTCTGCACGAGCAATGTCGGCCAGTGACATTAGATGCTGACAAGGAGCTTCTATCCAAAGGTGCTTTTCTCGTTTCACGAGAAGGTGTGAGCCATGATGAGCTGTGGTGGTCATTAGACTTTCTCTATGACAAATTCAAGGCACATGGTGCTGAAAAAAGGACACTCTACAAGTGGGTGCAGTTCTTGAAGCAAAAAGCGGAATTTACTGAGTTTTGCAATGAAGAATTCTTTTGCCAGACGAAGCAAGTCAGTCTCCCGCAGAATGCTTTGCGTGAGAACGTGGCTACAACAGCAGCCATTTTGGCATTTTTATTTTTCTCACTGAAGGAATCCAGAACGCCCAAGACCGTGCAACTGATCAAAGATTGGATTGCTCCGCTTTGTGGCCGAGTGTGCTCTACGTTGTCATGTTCTGTGAGCATTGACATTGAAGATATGCCTGCATTGGTGCTTTCTCCTGCGGGTTTGATCAAAGGGATCGAGAACACATTGACATCCAGACACCGAACTTGCTTCCTGGCATGGCAGAAAGAATGGCAGTCAATGTGTGCCGCCGGCGTTTTGAATGATGAATTGGTGGGCGAGGCAGATTCTGCGGTATCATTGCAGGAGCTGGTCCTCTTTGCTTTTTAAGTGGACAGGAGGCGGAGATCAGCAGGTAGCCATGTGTGGGCTGCAAGCAGTGTTTCCTGGGTCAAGCCTCTTCAAGTTTCAGAAGGCCCTAGTGAACTTCATGGCCCAGAAAATTGATCTGTATGTGAAGAGTCAACACATGCAACAGCATGACACTGCCCGACCAGCTCCGGCCAGACGGATCCGTAGCTCCGGGGACAATGATGTCCCGATGGGCCAAGTCGTGCCAGCACCATCGACAAAGGTCCGTATGACGCCAGATGCCATCTATGAAATCTTTTCTCAGGCCCGAGACACAAGTGTTTCAATGAAGGCGGCGTTGATTTTCTTACAGGGGGAGAGGGTCTCAGCGATGGCTGGATGCAAACCCAAGGCAGTAGATCCGTGGGTTAGGCGTGCCCAAACCATCTACGACGACAGAGCTGCAATGTCCTTCGCAGGTTGCAACCACTTGAACTTGATTAGCGATGGAAGTTGCCATGCCGGCCGTGAAGTTTTGCTTTCCATTGCATATAGCCATCAGAGTGACTCAGCGTCATTCTGCAACCTCCAAGCACTTCTTCCTCTTACGCAAGTGAGTCCAAATGAGATGGAACTCACGGGAAAATTGGAACAGCTGGCCCAGGACTGTCTGACTTGGTAGCTAGTCCTGTTGCAAGATTTGGCTGTTCAATATTCAAGCCTGATTGACAGAAGCCTTTTGGTGATTGGAGGTTGGAGTGGTTGGCCCATCTCATATATATTATATACATACATATATATATATATTAATCAAACAAAGATCAAAGTCAAGTACTAGTTTAGATTCATATCATTACATTCATCAGTTGGTTGCAGCCACCTGGCTAGGACAACAAACTGTTGCGGGTGGCTTCCTATCGGCAACTTCAGGCCATAAGCCAGCAGATCAACTTTCTGACAAACGGCCGACTGGGCAATTTGGATGCTTTCAAAGTTCCTGACAACACCAGTGCCTCATGGTTGCACCCGCATCAGTCAGATTGACAATGGTCGGGTTCGAGCTGGCTATCGAGACAATACTACTGGCGAGACTCGCATGCTGCGGCCTCCCGAGCGGGACTGGTGGGTTGACACTCCTTTGTTGGTTTTGCAGCTGGACCAAGGGCCTACCTGCTGTGGAGGGGCAGCGTCACTGGTTTGAATTTGTCTGATTGACCAATGTCACTGAAATAAAAGTTTCTTGAAAAATCAATCATCATTTGATTTGTCATTGCTTGCTTCAATCAACCTATCGGCTGAGGTTTGCCATCACCAAACTCGAGAGAATGATTCTTGCGAGGTGGGACATCATACATCGCGCAATTCGAGATGTCAGGCTGAGCCTGTTGCATGGGGCCAACGGGGAGTTTTTTCAGGCACAATTTCATTCGCAGTATTTGTTTTCACTTGCCTACAGACCATTTGGGTCGTCTGGTTTTTTTCAAGACAAGCGGCGGCTCCTGGAATTGATGTTGTCAAGAGAAACGTGTGAGTCTGTGCCTATGTTTGTGGATTCCTGGGAAAGCATCCGAGATGAGTTGCAGATGCCAGCTTCAAGCACAATGGCCGATGTTTGGGCTGCGCTGCCTTTGCTTGATGGTTTTAACTCAAAGCAGGTGTTTCCTAAGTTGTCACGTTGGTTCTCCTGGAACCAAGCAGCAGATGAAAAGATGTGTGAGTGGACGGCGCTGAAAGTTGTACTCAACTATCACTTTGCTGGTGAAGACTTGGACCCTGATGAAGCGTATCAAAAACGACTGCTGGAACATCTTGCAAAGGAATCGAATGCGGAAACAAACATGAGACATGAATTTGGGAAGCTCAAAGAAAAATTGGGAGGTGGGCTCAAGTTGTGTTATCACATCATGAGCAACAAATTGAAGCAAATGGTGCAGATCGTCATGATTTGCACGAGACCAGTCTGGTCGTGGTACTCCCACACAATCAAGGAAGTGCACCATGCCCAACATCAGGTCCAGAAGCTGATTGGCTTGCAGCACGGTTGGATGTCTGAGGAACACTTGCAGAGGCTGGCGGGTCTCCCCACATCCTTGGACGAGGAACTGCGCCAACTTCTTGGCAAGACTGAGTTCGATGATACATGCTCCAAAGTGTCTGAGTTGAGTCAGCGTGTCTTGAAGAACCGGGTTTGGTCACTTTCAAGGGCGGCCGCTCCCCCGGATTGCTATGCTGGCTTGCTGTCATCGGATGATGCTGCTCAAAAGGCTTGGTGGGCGGAGGTTGGGAATCGTGGTGTCTGTCCCGTGGAATCTTTTGTCTGTTTCTAGCTTACTGTCTTTCATCACAGTCGAACTTGGCATGAGGACAGGCTTTTTCACATTTCTATTCTAAAGTGTGATTTCTTGTCTCAATTGTCAAGGCCCAGTATTATTCCACTGGTTCCCCTGTTGTGATTGAAATTCAAACCAGACAGAGTGAGTGGCAGGCTTCGGCAAAACAGCTAGCTGCTGACCATTGCAACTTGCTTAAGCTGGAAGCAATTGCTGCCCAGAGTGGATCTACACCAAAGATCCTGAGCGATTTGAATGTTGTTTGCACAGCTGCCATTCGTGTACTCTGGTTGGCATTTGAGGAGGACAAATACCACCATGGCAGCCATGGCGGCTTGCATCTCCTCCGTGGAATGCTTCAAACACTTCCTGATTCCAAAATCGTGGAAGACTGCCACGGCAACCTGAGGAAAAATGCTAAGAAGGGCTCGAACAAACGGCAAACCCTGCAGGCCTTGCAAGGGCTGGTGACAAGCTCATCAGTACTGCAGACCAGGGACATCAAACACAAAGCGTTTGTCACGAGAGAAGAGTTCTTGAGACGCTTCCCCAGAACCAAAGATCGCAAACGGAAGAGGCCTGGAGTCTTGCTTTATCCTCCAACTGCCATCTTTGTTTCCACCATCACACATTCACATTTATTTTGTTATGTCACAGACAGTCATAGACAATATACACATAATATATATATTACAATATATGCAAAGTTGTTTTAGTGCACTAGAAGTTTATACGACACCAACATGAATTCAGGACATCTTTTTGAACTCGCCAGTGGTGTTGTCAAGTTTTTTGCTTGTGCATTCGGAGAGGCGCTACATGGCTCGCTTCCACAAGCTTCCGAAGGCATGGTCGGAGTTAATGTCCAGGAAGAACTGGGCAACCATCAGCGAAGACACTTTGCATCAAGGGGCAGCTGCCTTGGCTTTCTTGCGTCGGTACATGGAGGACAACATGGGCAATAGAGGTGTTCGTATATCGCATGGATGTCTCAGCAAGTTTGCAATAGAACGCACCATTATGTGCCATGCTGAATATGTTGGCTGCCTTTTGCCTTGGCCATGGAGTTTTGGAGTGCATTGTTGTGGCCGCTGAGCATTCACAAGGATGGTGATTTTGAAGGATACTATTTGGACCCCAAAGGAGAAGTTGAGTGGGTGCACATCTTGGACCCGCAGGAATGGTTTGTGCTTCCTCATACAGTTGTGCTGCACCAGGAGAAGATCTACATGGAAGTCTCATCGGACGTTCCCTTAGTGCGCTTCTTCTTTGGGGAAGCCTCTTGTCGAAATTCTTTGACAGTCGCCGACATGACTGTGCTTTCTGAAGTGCTGATGTTGGACAGCGAGCAGTTTAACCCAAAGAAGATGAAGCCTGACCAGCTACTCAATGCAATTTTGGACAAGGTAGGTGCTGATGACCAGGACTGGCTTTGCAAGGTGAAGGAATCTCTTGCCAAACCGGAGAAGCGCAAAGTCATTGGAGATGCGTTGGATGAATTCATCCTGTCTGAAATGCCATTGGAGGAGCAGCAAGACTTCAAAGAAGTTGCAGATGAAGTCGACACCAAGAGAAAATGTGGTTGGAGCCTCATGGATCAGAAGTGGAGAGAGCAAATGGCCAAAAAAAGCCAAAAGCAAAAGCCAAGAGAAAGGCGAAGCCGAAGCCGAAAGCTGTGCCGAGACGATTTGGTCGAAAACGCAAGAGGTCTGATACTGATCAACAAGAGGATGTAGCTCCCGCACTGTTGGATGCTCCAGCTGAGCCAGCTGCCGAAGCAGGAGGTGGTATCAGGTTTGGCTTGATCCTGCGCACGGTACCACTGGTTTTCCTCAAAGGCTTGCTCGTTTTCATCGACACTTGGAACTCGACTCGTTGGCTTCGGCTTTGGAGAAACTACGCTTTTCGCCTTGCAAGTGGCGCCTGGTGGATTCCTCCAGGGCGGAATGGTACCATGGTGCACTTGGTGGGATCCAAAATGGCCAAGGACATGTTGTCCAAATGCCATCATAGGTTCAAAGGCTGCCTCATGATGCATTTGCTGGGCAGAATGCACAGGTGGGCAACCGTGCCCACCAGACTGAAAAGGTCCACGAAGCAGACTGTGGCCAGGCTGCGGGAATCCATGCTGGCAGGGTTGGCTAGGTTGCTGCGCCCACCCTGTTTGCTGGAAAGCCTGGCTAGGTTGCCCCAACCCTTGCTGGAAGGTACAGGGGAACACAAACGGTTGCTGTTCTTGGGGTTGATGGGGAGCTCCTTGATGAGCGGCTTCTTGTGTGACAGGTACAGTTTGATTCCCCCTGTCTTGTGTTGCAAGTCTGCTTTGAATGGCAGTCTTTGGAAATTGCGGGTACTGTTTTCCTTCATGCCTGCTTCTGGCGTGCATGGCAGACACTGGGTAAGTGCTGACACCCTCCAGAATGCGATCATGTAGGAGAGTAACAGCTTCTTCCACTTGGTCCTTCTCTTCATAAGTGACAAAGGCGATCGTGTGCTGGATCCCATGGATAAAATTTCCCTTTCTATAGGGATATGGATGTGCTGGACCCCCTGGCCAACCTTGTACTTGTCCAGCACTTGTTGAATCTGGTTCTGCGTGGTGTTCCAAAGAACGTTGCCCAGGAACAAGCGATGAGGATGCTCCATGCAACTGGCAACTCTTTGCTGCTAAAATAAAAACATTGTTTGTACTACATGGCAAATATTGATTATGGGTGTGTCACATCTAAAACAAGTCAATATATGTTTGCTTCTCACGAATATGCTCTGTTGATGCTGAATAAGATGGTGGAAAATGAACCATGTTTGGAGGGAATCGTGTGTCTGTTTTGTTGCCATATTTTGCCATGTACATGAAACCGCATTTTGCTGTCGCTAAAACTGAGTTTTTTGTTGCCTCTTTGAAGACTGCAGCGATTCAGGAACATTTCCAACAAAATTGAAACCGTATTGCAAAACATCCGCATCTCTCAAAGTTGCTAAACTCGTCACACTCTCACTCTCATGGTTCATCCTCAAGGTTCGAAACTATATGTCATGTACAATTTCCGTTTGGTCTGAAAGATATAGATATATCTATTTGCATCACAGGTAACTTTTGCACTTGGTATGCCTATGCAGCGGATGCCACTGCGTGTATTCGTGAAAGGTTCTAAAAGTGATCGCAAAAAAGCAACTTTTTGTCGTGATCTGCACCACAAATCAAAACCCCAATTGATTTGTCAATATGCCAAGGGTGGGTTCAAAGAGCTCCCCTTTAGGCTCACACCCAAAGCACACTGTGTGTACCATTGGTCCGGTCTACCATGTATATCTATACCCTCATGGAGTATGCGGTTCAGTCGATGTCCTGTGGGCCCGTCGTTGAAGTCTTCTCCTGTGAAACATCTGGAGGCTGAACGTTGATATCCTCTGCCGGTGTGATCTCCTTCTCCTTGTTCTTTGTCTTCCCCTTTGCCTTTGCCTTTGAAGTCGCTGGTTGCTTTGGATGCTTTCGATCAAACTCTTCTCTTGCCTTCCTTGCAGCTGCTCTTGCCAACTCCTTGCTTTTGTCCTCATCTTCATTCTTAGCGAATTCTTGCTTGAAGGTGTTGTGCCAGGCATCCGAATCTGCTCTTCTTCTCAAAATCGCACGGTCTGCTGGCTTGCTAGGGTCCAGCTGGTCGGAAGGTGGGCCCATCTTCTTTTTGCCTTTCTTCTTGCTATCGTTTTTTTTTGTTTTCTGCATCTTCGTGGAAGCAGCCGGCCTCTTCGCATTCTGAGGTGGGCATTCATCCTCCTTGTCCTCACCCTGGGTGTGGTCAAGGGTCTTCTGCTTCTTGCACTTCTTCTCCTCCTTTCCTGGCTTGGATGCTGCTGGCCTTTTCATCTTTTTTGCTGAATTTAGCCTCTGCTGCTGAGACTTTCCACCCCAGGCAAGAGGTTGCACCTCTGCTGCCTTTTTCAAAAGATCATCATCTCCAGGTAATCTCTCCAAGCTGCAGACAAAGGGGTATCCAGGACTGGGCGTGTCCTCTTTCTTCTCCTGGGTCAACTTCTTCTTTGGAGTTGTTACGTCACTCGGCTTCTTGCTCAAGACCCTGTCAAAAACACTTTCAGGCTTCTCTCCAAAGATTCTCAACTTCACATCCTCTCCGATCTCCACCTCACTGTTCACGTTTGGCCCTGACGCCAAAGAATTGCCACCTGAGGCGCCCAAATCATCCCTTGAGCTCCCTGCCCTCGACAAACTCGGTCTACCTCGCCCTTGGTCATCTCCACGGGCATCGCCATCGTAGGGGACCATGTCGGTACAGGATTCTTGCTGGTCAAAGTCGATTTTCACCAGCAGCTTTTCCAACACCTCTTGCATCGCAGGACTGCATTTTCGGTACGTCATATCCTTTTTCTGAACCACTTGGCACATCTGGCGCAAGTGGCTTAAAGCCATGCGGATGGTGTCGTCCACGTAGTCCACGGCATCTTGAGTGGACTTGCGACCTCCAAGTATGTCATTCTGATGATGAAGCTTCTCAAGGGCTAACTTGTGCTTTTTGCCACTGATGATGGTGTTCTTTGAGATGTTGATGTAGTCCATGAAGAGCTCCTGGTGTTTGCAGAGCCACTCAACGGGAACAGCACTTTTCCAAGAAACACCAGACGGCGGCTGGATGTACTTTGCGAGGTTGATCCCTTTCTCTCGTTGTAGCAAATTTTCTACTGGCTGCATCAGGTCTGCTACCCCCACCAAGGGATCTGCGACTAAACGTTTCGGAGTCTGCGACAGCATCTTGTCTATACACCATAGTTTGGACCAAGGGTCTGTGAAAAACAGGTATATCTTTCAAATGTCGTTCAGCAAATAGCTCTGTGATATCTCAACAATGCATATATCGATATTTGATCACACCTATATACAAAATGATCCCTCACCAGAAACTCGTTTCAAAGCGACTCTCAAAGTGCAAAAGCAAATTGACTCTCACAGTACAAACTCTCAGAGTACGCAAGCAACTGACACAAGTTTCTTTCTCCAAAAACACCGTTGGTGGGATTCCATTTAGAAGAACATTATTTCAAAAATACATGTAAAAGTATCTTTTCATGTGTACTTGAATTCCTTGTTGGTTTCACAACTGGATGGTATCATTTCCTGAAAACCCTGAAGCTTGACATCATCTCCAGTTTCATTTTCACCATGGCATCGCATCACAAGTCTTTCCATTTGCACATGGTCACGACTCTAGAGTTTTCCAAAGCTATGACTATGAAGTCAAAACAGCCATGTTCTTGTTGCTGGCCACCTCATTTTTTAGAGTCCTCGGCATACTCTTTCATAAGATTGTCTTTCACTGCCTTGGGGTAGTCGTTCAAGAAGACATCGAAAGTGTCAACTGGCACGCCAAAAGATTCATTCCACTGCACGTAGTCGTGGTACTCCACAGTAGCTTCCCACAAGGTTCTTGGATATGGGACGCCTGCGCTGTCCACACTGTACTGCACAGTATTCTCATCCATGTTGTCATTCTTCTTGTTGACCTTTTCGCTATGGTCCTGCTTTCGGCCCTTGGACTCTCCTTTGGCGGTTCCAGGAGGCCATGGCATCAAGGGATGCTTCAAAGCAGTAGGGCCCTTAGGGGTTGTCCTCATACACAGCCTTGAAGCTTTTTGGTTTCTTCTTCACAGACTTCATGTCATCTTTCATCCACACCATTTTAGAAAAAACGAAAAATGCTAAGTCATGCAGTGCATTTACAAATGTTCATGAACTCTCAACAGCTCTTGACAGTGGAAAAATGACAATATTTGCGTTTTTGATGACAACACATTCATGTAATCTCTTTGCTACACTGAAACTGTCCAGCATGATTCATCACAAAACATTTTCCCATAACCCTTATAATGACAAACTCAAAACAGATGTAATGACTCTCCAGATCACTCAAAGTCTCTCATGGTAACTTGTAAATTCACATCGCGCTCATAGTTCTATTATAGGGTCTCTCATGTGGTGCACGTAGTCTCACAAGATCGCCTTCACTGTCATGAACATGTGTGTGAAAACAAGGAGACATCTGGGGTATGCAAAGAGGTTGGACTCTCACGGTCACTCCAGG